TTTACAAGGAGTCATGTTTGCATTGACCACAATACCTGCAGTCGTAATGCAAACAAAAACATAACTCTGATAATGGTGTTAGCTTTGATAATGGTGTCAGTTTTGTTGCCAGATAAAAGGGTAAAAAAACACTTATATTTTTTACTGGCAAATGAGGTTCCAATGATAGTAATATATTTTAACCGCACATTGGAAGTTTTAGTAGTCACCATTTGGTGCTGGGTGTTGCTATGAAAATATGCCAATGATGTGGACCTGTATTCACTTCCTATTGTCAAACCACTCCTGTTTGAAACCCTTCCCATGGCATGTATTATATATCAAGAAATATTTGTCAAGAAACATTCCATCTTGTGACCAAATTACATTTTGAAATCGATCGATCGTGGATGCGGTGTACAACGACACATCACAAACCTTCTGGATCATCAGCACATCGTGGACAGGTGTTGTAATGGATATCAATTATGCACGAAAGGTCCCTTTTGGGGCAACACGGTTGCAATCGATACACCCTTGTTGTTCTTCGTCCCGTCCTATTTGATCAAACACTCCTTGCCCGAGTGACCGGGTTAAAATGCAGAAGTTAAAGCAGAAAAACAATTAGTAGATACTTTTCACAAAACATAGTAAGGCACCTGGCCTGCCGCTCTTTGCATAACTTTGCTCCCACACCTCCGATGAGCACGGTTGGCCACGTACGGTGCGAAAGAAGTTCAACACGCACACACACACACGCACACACACGCGCACACACACACGCACACACACACGCACACACACGCACGCACACACGTGCAACTCTGTGGGAGGGCGCATTGCCGCCATGTTTGATCATGGATGCACTTATATGAGCATTTATTCATTTCCTCGCGAAATAAACTGCTTTCACTTTCGTTGTATCGACTCGGGCAGTAGCCAACGATATGAGCATAGTGTACATACCGAGGATACATTGTGCAAATGTTTATATCAACAATGTCGGGCCCTGCTGATGAGACTCGGAATGTCGAAACCGGGTACAGAGTTTGCCTTGCTTAAACAAAAGCTGCTTAATGACTTTGGTCTGGAAAGCCAATCGGCGGATGGACTGTGACTTCGCTTTTGTTGTTGTTGTTATAATGTGGAGGCACCGAATGGAATTCTGCTCATATTCGCTCGTAAAAACTGTCGCGGTATTATGTGACGCAAACGCACAGGCATTTTAAAATGCTGAACATCTGTCACCTGTAGTACTTTAAGTTTAATAACAATAACAAGGCTATCCGTCTCGAATGCACTGTATGTCGTTGCTTCGTAAGCAATTCGTAAGCTGTACAGAACATTTAAGTCTCGAGGCAAACTTCTGCAGGACTGTCTGGCTCGCGGACAGCGACTGGCGATCAGTAAATAAACCCAAACTACGAAACGATTGTTTGTATTTGACCAAGTAAGGCCCACTACATAGCTCTTTATCAAGCGCGACCTGGCCACAAATGATAGCTCAACATAGTCGCATGTCAAAATGAAAATGTACAGCCGCCAAATACGTTTCTGAATGTGGAGGGAGGTTTGGGGAAAAACCGGAGGACCCGGAGAAAAATCCACGCGACCATGGCGAGAGAGACACGCAAACTCTGGTTATACAGACGTCAGGGTCGGGATCGACACCCACGACCTTCTGTATACCAGGCGAGGAAGTTAACATCTCGTCGACCAACTACCCTCTCGTGAGCGAGATAAAGACGCAACGAACGTTCAACGGACCAGTCACCGACAAATCGCCAATTCTCTAGAGGCGCAACAATCGGTTGGAGCTGCTGCTTTTATGACGATTAACCTTTAAAATAACGACAAGTCATGAACAGTGTCTATAATCATATAGGCGTGAATTGTGTGTACGTAGGGAGCCGCATATACGTTTTAATGTGTATATTTTATACGCGGTATTGCACGGTTATATAAAACGCCTATACCGCACATGCATACGTGGAGTCGAGCGAGCGGTGGCGCCGTGGTTAGCGCACTTCGCTATGAATGCGGCGTCCGGAGATGGATTCCCGGTCACGACTCACATCGGTGGCGAGTGGCACCTGAACCGGTCCTGCCGCGTCCGCCTGACCGCCCTGTAAGGTCAACAACCAGCGCGGGGAAGTATGGCCAAAGAAACCCCATGAGCAACACGGCTTAGGGAAGCCTTCGTCGATTGGTGTTATTTTATCTGGTGAACGAAGAAAATAGTTTAATAGTTTCGTTTACGTTTTGAAATGTCTGGAACTTGTTAATTTAATTAATGGCATTTTACACAGATATACATTGTTGAAAACATTCAACAGTGGATTTGCAGAGGGAGGGATGTAAACTACACGGGTAGTCTTTGCAGAAGCACCTATCGTGAAGTAACTGTCTCCACTCTAAGAAGTGGTCATCTATTCGTGACATGGCCATGTGCGTGTGTGTGCCAGGACGTGCATCACGCACGCTCGTCGCACGTTCTCGTGTAGGCCCTGCGCTAAATGCGTCCTCAGATGAAGACGTTTGAATTATTGGATACATATACGACAATTGGCTTCGTCGAAGGCTCACACGACACGCGGGAGTGGATTGGCAAAGGGCTGTACGTTGCCGTGAGCACTCCCCCTGCACCGTAGCCATCCGATTGTCCGAAGCGGATGTTGTGCGTTGGAACCGACGTACGCGATTAGCTCTGCAGCGCAAACGATGCGTATACCCGTGTATGGGCTCAGGGCCTACATGTCACGCCACCGAGTATCCCAAGTACTTATTGTTACGCATAAATATACCTATGTAGGTGTATATCTGGATTTTGACATACTACACACCAATTAATTTAGTATTTAAATGCATATATTTCTAATGCGCGTTCGTACATATCCACTTCCGTTCAAAAACAATGTCATTTCGTAGGCTGAAATAGCCGGTCTGGGCTGATATTCAATGAATATCTCTAAACTGGCAAAAACAAAACTGTACACCGAGAGAAAGCCACATTGGTGAGCAATGCACTGCGTGTGTGTCTGTGTGTGTACAGCCTTTGTAAATCCACTGCGAGATTAAGGCTTCCCCACACCGTGCCAGTCACGGGGGTTATTTAACCATTCATTCTCCACGACGTCAACAATACTGCGGCCTAAAAAAGGACATGTATATAATAGGCGACGTTTCGGGCAATGAACCTTCATGGCACATACATTCACCACGATTGTGAGTGCCGGTGTGGAGGGAGGAGGGAGTTGTCCGCCACTGGTTCAGATATCGCTCGCCACTGATGTTAGCCGTGGCCGAGAATTGAACTTCAGGTTGGTGGATTTGTCGAGCAGCAACAATGCTAACGACTGCGCCTCTGTCCCTTAACGCATGAAGATGTTATGAAGAGCGCTCGCTCTTGACGACGAGAGGGACCCGATCGCGTTTACCATAACACTGAGATAGAGAGCGAGAGAGACAGAACAACATTATATGACCAACATTTTAGAAAGATGCCCTCCCCCCCCCATTCATGAAAATACCACCACCATAAACAACCAAGCCTGGACAGCACCTGACGTTATGGTCACAACACGTGTCTCAAGTTGAGCACGGGGTTGCCTGAGCGTGGGTTAACTTATTGGGGCGGGGGGGGGGGGTGTTTATCACTGGCACAGAGAGAAAGAGAGACACACACATCAAGCACACCACGTCAAATGTGAATATTTCCAAAAAACAAGAGAGAGACGACGACGCTACACCCAGTGCGTGCGAGTGAGTGAGTGGCCGCTACTCTGCCGCATAAGCCGTGCAATGCCGCGTGCTAAGAAACACAGAGAGAGCTTCTCCAGTGTTGCCGCGCAATGCCGCGTGCTAAGAAACACAGAGAGAGCTTTTATAGTGTTGCCGTGAAAGCATCTCGCGTGGTCTTTTTTATATAAATAGCCCGTAGCGTGTTTACTTTGCCTGTTTAATGTGTCGGCAATTGTGATGTAAAAAAACGATGAGACCGTAGCATACATTCTGGCGTGTGCGCCCAACGGTACCAAGATATGCACTAATAGACGTCAATAGGCCCGCTCTAAAAGTAAACATATAATGTGCGACGGATTCGGGGTTATTGGCACCTCATTCATATCAGAGAGAACATATGAAGAAGGAACGTAGCGCCGTGTCTCTACCCTTTGTAATAGCACCTCCGATAAGCACGGTTGGTTAGTACAGTGCGAAGGAAGTTCAACATGCATACTTAGAAGGGTCATTGCCTGAAACGTTGCCTATTATTTGTGTTTTCTCGTGCAAAGCGACCAAAGCAGTATCACAAATCACGCGAATATATCGGGTTGCCCCAGAATTCAGGACACATCGGGTTAATTACATTTATTTTAACACATGTTCAAACTACTCCCATTAACATGAATGTACGCATTAATTATCTTTTACATTAATTTATGACCTTTAAAAAAATATTACAGGTGTAACATTAATCTGGACAGTGCATACAGAGTTATGTTTTTGTTTGCATTATGACTGCAGGTTTTGTGGTCTATGCAAACATGACTCCTTGTAAAAAAAGGTGTCAGTTTTGTTTGCCAGATAGAAGGGTAATAAACCAGTTATAACATTAATCTGTTACGTTGTGTCTCAATTCAGTCAATGTTCTTTACATTTTTAATTGTCATATGAAAAGGAATAGTAAATAAATAGTAATAATGATAAACAAATAGAATATTTATTTAAATAATCAATAGTTTAAACGTGTTTATGCAGGTGTTAAAATAAATGCAGTAACCCTACGTGTCCTTACTCTTGGGCTACCATGTATATACGTGGTGTGTACAATTGTCACTCTCATCAGCATTAAATTGTACGACAATTGTACGACAATCTAATTGTAATTAAACGCACACACGCACAGGGGGGGGTTAAGGTTGCCACTTAATTCTGTAACTCCCCTCTAGATGGTGGACTCAAATATAAGAATTAACTAATTTGTTTGACATCAAACAACAAAAACAAAACACTTGTTCGTAAAAGTTTTAAAACAAATGTCATTTATATATATTCAAAAAACGCTGCAAGTTTACATCCTAAAGGGCATACAAAGTACGCCAGAAACACGTTATATACAGTTTGTATTTACAAGACATTCACATTGTGCACGTGTTCCTTTAAGTTGACTTTGAGAGTACCGTGTGTTACTACCGAGATTAGTGTATCGTATATGCCGTGGAAAACAATGACTTATTGCACAATGACACAAATTCACATTTCCTCTATAATATCGTAGCTATGTACACATGAGCCGGCATAACTTTAGAGGCGCGTTCAATCGTCAATTAAATCATACAGCTATATTATCTGGGCGCACAAGTGAGTCGAGCGTGCGGATTGCTTTGAAAACGAATAAACAAAGAGAAACAAGAACTTACAGTCTTGAGATCGCGTCGTTGAATTGTGTCTGTTTATCGGTAAAGCACGGTGTCGTCTATGTACACGTGGTTTCAGAAACCTTAGCGATCATCAGCACGCTGCGCGGTCAATGCAAAGAGGCGTAGGCGGATGACACGCGCGGGTAGAAGGCGGAGAGTGCTGGGGGGATGGCTGCTACGATGCTCGTGCCCACGCACGGCTCCACCGTAGAGCTTGACGCGTCCACTTGACTTTGCTGCTGAGGTTCAGTCGTCGCCTTCCCACCGTGTAGGCCAGTCAGAGCTGCAAACGCGGTCGCGGTAAGTTGCTGCTGCTGCTGCTGGTGATGATGATGGTGGTGATGGAACGGTAAGTCCCGAAAGCCTCTAAGCCCATCGGCAAGCTGCAAAAAGCCACCGCAGGCTCCCGCGAGCGCCAGGGGAGGACCTCCCAAGGCCGCGTGGCACAGCAGCGGCGCGTACAGCCCTGCAGCTGCGCTTGCGTGCGGAGGGCAATGGAACGTCTGGGCTGCGCTGTAATGCAGCCCGTGCTGTTGCTGAAGCTGCTGCTGCTGCTGCTGCTGGTGATGATTCTGCAGGTGAGGATGAATGGAGGACGGGTGAGGATGATGATGATGATGATGATGGGGATGATGCGGCGGAGGCGGTGGAGGAGGCGGAGGGGGCATGATGGGCCAGAAGATCGAGGCCGCTCTCTCCATGAGCGCCAGGCCGGCCGAGGCAAAGAGAGGGCCGCGGCGGAAAGCGAGCTTGCCCCGGGACGCGCCCGATCTCCGGCGCAGCTTGCCCGTGGTGCCTCCGATGAAGACGTCGTCGCTGCACGGGTCGAGCATCCAGTAGTTGCCCTTGCCCGGGTCGTCGTAGTGGCGCGGCACCTTCACGAAGCACTTGTTGAGGCTCAGGTTGTGCCGGATGGAGTTCTGCCAGCCCTGCTTGTTCTCGCGGTAGTAGGGGAAGTTGGTCATGATGAACTCGTAGATGCCGTTCAGCGTGAGTCTCTTCTCGGGGCTCTGCCTGATGGCCATCATGATGAGCGCGTTGTAGCTGAAGGGCGGCTTCTCGTGCTTGCTGTTGCTGCTGCTGCTGTTGCTCTTCTCGTGCCGGGGGCAGGACGACTTCTCGTCGTCCGCCTCGTCGCATCCCTCCACGCCGTTCGCGTCGGCGCTCGCCCTCTTCTCGCCGCCGCCGCTGCTGCTGCTATCGCGCCGCGCGGTGCCGCGGGTCCTCTCCTCCACCACCTCCTCCACCTCCTCCACGCCCGTGCTGCCACCGGCGTTCCCAGCCGCTTCCCCGTCCCCACTCCTGACGACGCGGCTGCTGCTGTTGATGATGATGCCGCTGCTGCTGCTGTTGATGATAATGCCGCCGCTGCTGCTGCTGTCACTGCCGCCGCCGCGATGGTATCCGCGCTGCACCGCTTCGAGCAATAGGCTGTCAATGCTGAAGGATGTCTTCGCAGCCACTTTAACAGCGCCTGCATGCCGTTGATCGCCCATATCCGGACGCAGCCTAGACGACCCTCAGCCTCGAGCTGTTCCACGCAGAATTTCCAAAGCAGCGACAGCGACGAGCACTCCAAGCCAGCAAAAAAACGAACAATCCAACAGCGGCGGAGGGAAAATAATAAATATATACGCGACGAAGCAAGCTGGCTCTTGCTCTCCCCGTCTCCGTGTGTCAGCGACATATACGCGCAGACGCCAGCAAGAGGAGCCGATGAACGCCACGGCACTCATCTGGCTGCCCTGGGACCCATAATGCGCCCTCGGCCGTGTCGGTCCGACGTGTTAAAGTGCATGGGAGCTCATTAAGAAGCGGCGCGACATTGGAGGGGCGGGAGGAAAGGCGGGGGGGGGGGGGGTCGTGGAAGAGGAGGCGATGGGTGCGGGACACGGGGGGCACGGCGAGAACAAAACACGCGCACGGCACTCGCTCGCTCGCTCGAGGTTCGCAGCCCACGCGTCGGGCGGGCCGCGAGTGACGCGCCGAGCCGCCCAATCCGCGCGGATCGGCCTCGATGCGCTCGACCCATTTCTATCGCCTGCCGCCAATCGGACGACGTCCCGATCGCAGCGTCAGGGACACCCGCACGGCCTGGCACGCCGTTTGGCCTCGCACGCAGACACGCACACAGACACGCACACACACAAACACAGACACGCACACACACAGACACACACACACAGACATAGACACACACGCGCACACACAGACACACACACAGACACGCACACACACACAGACACACACACTCACAGACACGCACACACAGACAGACACACACACAGACACGCGCATACTCACAGACACGCACACACACTCACAGACACGCACACACAGACAGACACACAGACACACAGACACACAGACACACACACAGACACACAGACACGCGCACGCACACAGACACGCACACACACACAGACACGCACACACACAGACACGCTCACACACACACAGATACGCATACACACAGACACGCGCAGCAGCAGACAAAGATTCCCCCGTATACATCCTGCAAGCAGACTAACACGTAGGCTTTCGCGACCAATGTCATCCACAATAAGGGTTTTTTGGTGATGAAGCTTGTTGTAATTACAGGCGAAACGTCGTACTCAGATTGTAAATGTCGTGGCTTGGCTCTCCAACACGCCGGTGTGCTGTACTAGTGACGAATTGGCCACGTTCTGTTTACGTGACAACCCTTACTAGTTGGCTGTGTCGGGTGGTGGCGGGTTTTAACGACACATTTATATATTTACGCGATCTAACCTCAAACAAAAACCCTCTATTATGGATGCAAGCAGACTGTTGGGGCAAGTTCGGTTCTGTTGGAGCGAGCACCTGCGATGGGCCTGGCACGACCAACACGCACGAAAGGGGTCCCTGGGTGACCGAAGACCACTCCCGGCCGCCTTTGTCTCTCACTCTCGATCGTGCTGATGCCGAATGCACACCGCGCAAGGAGTTCATTTAAGGCTGAGTCTAGCTAGGGGAGGGCCGGGACCGGTTCCAGATTTTGGCTCGCACTGTTATTGGTCGTGAGCGGGAATCGAACTCGGTTCGCCGGTTCGTAGCGCACTAGGCTCGCCACGACGCCACTAAACACGGCCACGCACAGATGGAATCTGTAATATAGTATGTGCTATTTAGTACGATATGGCTACTCTATAGCGCCGTGAAATATCGCGAAGGTGTTCACATTTTGGAGTTGTGTTTCCCAGTGTGTTTGCGTGTTATACAAATGTTTTACTCTTTTTTTTTACGAGCCTGCTGTATTTGCTGAAAAAATGTCCACGGCGCGGGTTTTCGTTGCGGAGAGACGCCTGATTTTGCGAATGGGACGCTGAAAGAAAGGTGATTCTTTGTTTCGCTGTGTAGTGTGCATTCGTGTGATGCGTGTACATGTGTGTGGTTCATGCACGCGTATGCTGCTATATGGATGCAATACGACCGTGACGAACAACCAGTTTTATAATTCACGTCTTAAGACCGTCATAGACCGGAAAATGCCCACACTTTGTACTCAACAATGTACAAATACGTATCCTCATTTTACCCGTATAGCCTTAACAGACTGTTGGGGCAAGTGCTGTTCGCGAGTAGCACCTGTGAAGGCCGGCACGGCACACGAGGGGGTGGGTGGCCAGCACCACGCCCGGCCGCCTTTGTCTCCCTAGTGGCGATGTTTACACATCGCACCAGGTAAGTCGTTTGAGGCCGAGTCTACCTAGGGGAGGCCCAGGACGGGTTCAGATAATCGTGCCATGGTCAAATATTGCTGCAGCGAATCCGCTCTGGTTGGGAAAATAATAAAATAATAAATGAGTACACTTAAGACGATAAAAAAATAATTATAACATATTGTCGTGTATTTATGACGTGTTAACAGGATGTTGTGAATATGATGAAATGGCTTTGTTTAAAAATTTGGGGTTTTTTTTAGAGCTCGGCCACCTGGCGGAAACGTGGCGAGTGTTTGTCTCTCAGCGAGAACCTCTCTTACATTACGGACTTTTTATTATTTAACTTGAAACAAGACAAAGATTCCCCGTGTAGTCTCAACCGACTGTTGGGGCAAGTGCTGTTCACGAGCACCCTTGGCGGGCAGCACGGCGCACGAAAGGGTGGCGTGGCCGAGTTGGACGCCCGACCGCCTTTGTATCCCCAGTGCTGACGTGCAGCACCGGATCCTATTTTAAGGCTGAGTAGACCTAGAGGTTTCCCAGAACCGGTTGAGATATTCGTAAAAGACACACACACAAAATGTTCGTAAAAGACACACACACAAAAAACATTCACACACACACATTGTTATACGTTAAGTATATTACCGTGTGTATGTATGTTGAACCTCTTTCGCGCCGTAGGTAGTGTGGTGTAAATAGTTTCAAATATAAATCTACACGAGCACAAATATAGTATATCTGTAACTGCGGGTATTAGTGTGGTTTGAGCAACTGCGTTATGAACCGCGCTAACTGAGTTCGATTCCCAGGCAGGGCTAACGTCAGTGGTGAGCTGTATACCACAGATGGTTTATAGCATCCCAGCCTGTTTCGCAATCGTACACTGACCTACGCGTTTAGTAAACCACAGATCCGTGATCGAGATGGCAAGGGAAAATCTTCATCCAGCAGTGGAGTAGTATACATTCACGGATACGTGTACTGCCATGTGATGGAGACACTAACAGTGTCTGCCACACGGCCTGGATTATTATGATAGTCTGCATTAAGGTGTGCCTGAATAGTCAATTAACCCTGATTAATGATTCCACAGTGGTCCATTTTATATAGAAAGTGTCCACGAACATGCGTCAAGAGCGCCAATGTTGTTTAGTTGCATAAGTTGTGTTTCTTTTATTTTATACCTACGTGACTTTACCGAAATAACCAAAGAGTATGGATTCCTGCAGTCACGAAAGCCTCAAATCAAGATTGTATTTAGATACAGAGCATGTACGCGAACGTACGCGCCGTGTTTGGCACGACGTGTATTCATTTACCAATCCCGTGCACGCAAATGGCTCAGGGAGATACTGTCAAGGTAAGAATTCCAGAGAGCACTCGAATGAACCTCAGACGTAGCTCTGTGATATCCGCTTCCGCGGGCCGTTCTCTGACACGCAGCAGGGTCGCGCTGCTCAGCGAGACATCCGAACGGCCTCGCTTGTCTCACCACGTGACGACTCAGACAACACAGTCGGGATCGAAATGGGGGGGGGGGGGGGTTGGAAGCTGACAAAACACATTTTACTATCATTACACGGAATGGAGTTTACATTTCAGCGTTATACAATACCATTATGTGTCATACAATACCGGGTATGAGTCAAACACTTCTCCCACTAGCGCCAGCGTCGATGCAGTGTTGGCTATGTGAACCCGAACTTGGAAAACCTCTCTACACACCAGCCTGGCGGGTGGAGGTTACGTGGTGTGCGTACCGCTTACGGCAGTTTACACATCCACGGTTTCGACTTTAAACAAAATCACAACGCGTTGCTGTGGAACAACATTGCATGTTGAAGGAAACACGAGCGGAACTTTGCTGATGTCTCCAACAAAGCCGAATGGAGATGGACACAATTTGGTTGTGCATTGAACAAGACCCGATGGTTTGTTCGGAGTGCTCTGGGCAATGCAGTCGTACCGCGACTTCACGTCTCCCCTTTGTTTACGTCGTTTCGCAAATACGTCGTCACTTTATTAGCACCGCTACTACCCGGTTTGCATCGTCTCAACCCCCACACTCACGTCGCTGACAGTATCGGCCTTCCTTTCTCGTATCCATCGCCGTTCAGCCTTCGTCACCACCACCACCACCTGCTGCCACTATCCTGCAAATCGCTTCTCCGATTGACGTCGTTTCGATATTCGTCGTCGCACATTTCCGGAACGCATCCCCGACGTAAACCGGGGTAATATCATGTCGTCACCCAAAAGCATTTGTTTTAACAAGCTTGACACGAGGTCGAAAACGATACAGAGTTTCCTTGCGTTAAACAAATGCTGCTGGAAAATCGTGATGTGGAGAGCCTCGGCGTGAAACACATTTTGATGTAGGGAACAACACCAAACGGAGCTGTGTCGTTACATATATATGCATATCTATTTGGATTTGCGTGTCGTGCATGGTAACACATAACCACGATTATGCACCAACATGAAACAAACCTTGACTTTACCGACGTCACCGGACCCGCAAGTTGTTTATTCAGTAGATTACATACAAAGTATGACGGCACATATTGAACTCTAACACAGCGCGTTTATAGCGTTTTATAATGATTACAGTCTATAGCTCTTTACGACAGACTTCAAAACAAGCCACACATTGCATCGGTGTGATTCCTTTGGTATTTCGTTATCAAACACCTTTTTTATGACCGCCCCCATATATTAGATGACATAATTGGTCAAGTCCTATACTCGAATTACTGTCACATTGACGCCACAGCTGGGGAACATTCGAACGCTGTGATGACGACGACGATGTTGATGATACGCATAACAGAATAACAAACATCCCGACAATAAGAGAAACCACATAATCACAGAGCCCATCGGCTGCATAATCACAGAGCCCATCGGCTCCCCCGTGAGTGCGTCCGTGTGCGCACACCGAGGCTCTGATGGTTGATACCGGAGAGCCGAGAGAAACTCGATACGGCAATGAGGTTTGCATCTCATCTGCCGTCGCATGCATCAGCCGAACAGGCGGGCCGTACGAGTGGCGGATGAAGCAGCGTAGGTTACTGTAGACCACCAAACAAGTCAAACTCCGCCGACGAGACGCTGAATGTCCAGCCCCGTGCAGACT